AACATACCAACCAATTTTTTTTAAAAACCATAAATAAATTATAAATTAAATAATAAATTTATATTGTAATTAACCTCTATTTTATGGATTAAGTTCAAGCTTGTTGACATTAATGATATTATTTTTATGAGATTTTGGTTTATGATCGGTTAAAAACTTTTGAATTAATATGTGTTATATAATGATGAACAACAGACAATATAAAAGATTAGAAATGACCGATTCAAAAACATTGAAATAATCTTCAAAAGCAAAGTAAAGTTTGTATATTCATGTATGTAAGTATATAAAATATATGTCTCATATTAATGTACTTCAAAAGTTGAAAAACAATTCTTTTCCTTCCTCTCTTGCTTTACTTTTCTCGGTCTTTATTTTTCATTTTTCATACTCTTTTCCTTTCTGAAACTGTTATAATACTTTTTGTTCTGCAATTTATTTCAAAGTTAACACCAATAGCCACATTGCTTTAGGATCTTTATGATTAATGGTTTTTATTTGCGATCGCGCGCTATATAAACTTTTCAAATAAATTATCTACTTTTTAACGCATTTTTCATACAACAAAGAGCTGTTGGCTGTATTCTGTTCGTTCTTTCTCCAACGACCTTTTGTTTCTTCAATTTATTCATTCATCTGAAATTTCGAAGGGTTTTGTTCTATGTTGTTTGTACATCTGTGAGAGTTTAAATTTATTTCGTACCATGAAAACAAAAGACAATTATTTTTGTAACAATTCTTTGTCTTTATTTATTATTATTATTTATTCTTTAAATTAACTTCCTATTATGATACATAAAAAATGCGTTAATCAACTCACGATGTAATTAATTCTTATACTTATTACATTCTTTATTTTTTTTTTTTGCAAGATGTAATCAAAACGTGTTTGTAGATATAAGATAGATTTGCGCATTGTCCGAAAGTAAAAAAAGAAGTAAACTTTTGTGGGGTTGAAACTTGACTAAAATGTAAAAAACTTAATATAACAAAAAAAAGTTATGTGTTTTTTTCACTCAAGGACTTTTATTATTGTAATTTTTGCCATTATTGTTGTTATAGAGATTTCTTCATCGACTGTAAGGCGAAAAGTTTTTTTTTTTGTGTTTAAATTATAATTTAATTCGGAGAACAATTTATTCAGTTGGTTTTTCGCCTCAATAACTTTAAATTTGTTTCATGTGCTGTTACTGGTATTATGCAAGTTTACATTTAAAAAAATATTATTTTTTTAACAAGAACTCTTTGAATCATTTAATATCATTTTAAGAAATCGAAAACAAAACTTTTTAACAGCAAAAGAAATTTTAACATAAAGGACAATATGTAGAAGAATAAACACAGAAAATAAGTTTTTTTTTTCTTTTTCTTCAACACAATTAAAATCTGAAAATAAAGAACCTGAAATTGAATTAATATGAAAAAAATCATTAATATTAAAACACAACAAAAGTAAAGATATTTATTTCAATAATTTTGCTTTTATTAAATAAATCTTACTTTTCATTCTCATTTCCCACTGTTTTATAATTATTAGCCTAGATTTTTTTTTCATATTTTTATTTCGTTTTTTCAAAATTATCAATTCTTTTTTTTTCAAGTTAAATCTATAAACTAATTTTAATTTTCAATCATGTTTGATTTTATATTTTTTCAATTTCCCTTTTTATATTTATTTTTTTAATTTGAAATTAAGAGAAAATTCAATTTTATTAAAAACATACTCTTTGAGCAAAATTGGTTTGACAAAATTCCAATAACACAAGTCAGTCAAACAATTTTATTATTCAACATAACTAGTCACAATAGGTAATTTAGAATAGATAATTTTTAATGAGCACTATCAATTAGATGATGACTTTTAATGTAACATCTTGGGTCTTTAGGTATATTTACATAATATCGATGGACAATTTTCAACACATCTATTAGTTGAAAATAAAATGACAAACAAACTTTTTGTCAACATATAGCTTTGCTTTGAAACTATACATTTTTAATATTCTTTACAAAAACAAAACTTTCAAATAAAGGACCTTTAACATGGCTGTACAATTTGTATAAAGATGAAATTCATGAATAACCCAAGTAGTTTCTTCTCATTTTTGTGATCATCCATTCTATATTTACGTATGTGCAATAACAATTATGTGTGAACCGGATGATATAAACATTTCCAATATTTTTATTTCTTGAAACACATATGGCTTAATATGAAAATGATAAAGTAATTGCTTCAAGCTGTTTTGTTTATCCCATTTTAAGTTCAGAGGATTGGTGAAGTTATTTAAAAAAATTAATAATAATTTGATTGGTTGGAATTTTGAAATCTTGGAATTTATTTTATCACTTTTATGTCTTATAAATATGAAAAATTAAAAGTTAATTTTTAATATGAAAATTTTGTTCTCTAAGCTCTTTACATTAAAGGTGAAATTTGATATTTATAAAGATACAAATGTTTTTGCAATGATTTTGTTCCTAAAAAATATGCTCACGAAAACTTCAATCTAATTTTACATACATTATTCATCTGTAATATTGTATTTTTGTTTCTTCTCTTTCTGTTTGAAAAATTTATAAAATAAACAAAGTTTGTTTTGGAGAATCAACGTTTAATTTTTTGCAGCTAGTCTGTATTACGTTTTGAGCTGATCAATCTTCAAGTTGCACAAAAATATTAGAGCTGATGGCGTATTTTAATTTAAAAAAATCTTTTTCAAATTTTTGATTTCAAATCTTCCCTGAGCCCGCTATCTACATTTTATCTATTAGATGTTGAAGATTAGCTTACTGAACGTGATTCTTAAATTTAAACGTTTTCTACAAAATAAAATCGTTTTCATTTTATTCACGTTTCTAAAAATGGTTGTAAATTTTCAATTTTCAACGAAGTTATATTTGAATTTATTATTTTATGTATTTTATTTACACGAATTTTTATGGTAAATTTTAATTTTTTTCTTTTCTGATGCTTTTTTTGATATTTTTTGGGGGAAATCACTCTCATCTTTAGAAGTTTTTAAATTTCTCCTTCATATCATGAGTACGGTGTTATATTTTGTTTCCATTGTATTTCCTAGAATAGTCGATTTTCCTCTTATTTCCTTTTACATCATATTACAGACAATACGAAAAAAAAGAAAGTTTACTTTGGAATTTGTGCTGAAGACCTTTCTTTTACTCAATAAAGTTCTTCTCTCTTATCTCAATTTTTCCCTCGACTACATTTAACTATTTTCATTTGTTGATTAATACATTAGTTTTTCCTTGTATTTTCTCTGTATTGTTATTATTTATTTAGATTTTTTCTCTATTCAATACAATAAACAAAAAAACTTGATAGATACGACAAAAACTAAAGTGTAAATAATTTTTTTAAATATAACTACATCAAACAAAGTTAGAATTAGAGAAAGACTACAAAATAAATAAATAAAATTTCAAATATTAACAGCGCACTGCTAAAAGTAAAACAAACTTGAGTTCATGTTTTTAGCATTTTATTTCATTCAATCCATCTTGGGTATTCTATCAATTTTCTCATTCTGTTTTGTATATTTTTAGTTAAGAAAATAAAAGACTCTTGAAAATGAAAAATGGCACGAACTCGTAGCATTGCAATTAAACTCTCTAGTTGAAAAACAAGAGGAGCATAAAAATGTACCCATTAGGAAAGCAAATAAAAAAATATTACTCGGCAATTGGCGAAATTTATGGCTGCTGCTATAAATTGCTGTTGTTGTATATTGTGTAAGCTTCCTCTACTCCACAAACAGGAAATGAAAAATTTTACAAATAACAACAAATGCTACAATTGCATTTTTTTGTAAATATGCTACTTTCACTCTTATTGGTCATGTTTCTATTGTATTTAACAGATATTGAACGACTTTGTTATATTAACTTTTTTAATTGTTATCAAACTGTAAATTTGCTTTAGCGCAGTTTTTGAAACCATCTCAAATGATGCAATAAAAAGTTGGAAGATGTATAAAAATACGAAATTATTTTATTGACAGGATAAAATTTTATGAATTCCTCTTTTTTTGCTGTGAAAATCAATAATTAATTTTACAATCCAATTCATTCAGGGAATATTAATATTCATTTTGAGCAAAAGCATTTTCAATTTGTATTGATATATAAAAGTGCTCAAATTAATTTAAAATTATTGAAATGTTGATAACGATGTAAGAGTCATAATTTTGATATATTTCATTATTTGAAACTGGATTGAAATTTTTTTGAAACCTTTTTTTGAAATCTCTCATTTTCATTATTCACGAACTATTTTTAATATCATTAAAAAAAATAATTTAATGCTAAATTGAATATTTGAATACATGGAAATGCGCTATAATAACAAAAGGGAAAAAATTACATTTAAATATCGTCTCATATTGGCCTTAAAAATAGATTAAAAAATTGTGAATAAAGTGTATACGAAATGGAAAATTAACGGATTTTAAATTAAGCTTCATCCATGGAACATTGCGCATCTGTTGTGTGATGAACTATATTGAGAAAAAACGGAAATTGAAGAATGATATTTTTTCATACAATAAGAGCATAAAGTTTTATTTTTATACCAAAAAATCACATTTTCATTCAGACTTGTTAAATTATTTTAAATAATAATTCTGCTCTTTGTTTGCACCAAGATATATTAACAACTTATATATTTATAATCAAATTATGTTGTTAGTTTTCTTCCTATCAATATTATGGATTTGTATGCTTTTAAAAAATATTATTCTTTGTTTCTTCAACATCTGTAAGTCTGTACTAATGCTCAGTATTTACAATCAATAAAACATTTTTTGTGTAATCTCAAAAAAAATAAAATTAAGATTTTATAAGTTTTCGAAATTTTCTCATAACTTTGTTTAAATAATAAGTTTTTAAAATACTATTAAATTTATAAGTTAACCAATAATTTGTTTTGATTTCTTATAATAAAATACATTTAAATGAATTAGAAATTGAAATTTTTATAGCGAAAGCTTTCTGCTTTTGAAACTTTTTTTTTGTTATAAAAAATAAGGATGAAACAGCCAGGGTAGCAATATGATGTCATGTCAAAAAATATTTCCTGCGACACATGAAATTCTATTGCACTATTACATGTTCACACATATTTTTCTGCGATATGTCAAACATATTTCCTGGCAAACATATTTATGTATCATATATTTTTCCTGTCACATTGAATGTTTTTCAATCATAAAATATTTTTCTCTTAATTTTTAACATGTTTTTGATTTTTCGGTCTAAGATTGAAAATTTTATGTTTGAAAAACATACCATGTCACAGGAAAAATATGTGACACATAAATATGTTTGACATATCGCAGAAAAATATATGTGAAAATGTAAAAATGTACGACAGAATTTCATGTGTCACATACATGCGCATATTCTTTAAAACATAATATGTTTTTGCAACCCTGGAAATAGCAAGTAATGTAACGAAAAGAGAAATTCAATTTTAATTCTTCTGTGCAATATTCTTCTCGTCTTATGTAATACATTGTAATAAGGAAATAAGAGGACCAAGATAATGAAAAGGGAAAGGTTTGAATGCTTTTAAAGTACTACAACATCTTCCGTTTGCAAAATAGCTTCGAGTGTTTTGTTATAACTTTGCTGTCATATATCGGAGCTTTCTTGGCTATCATCTGCATAACCTTCATCGGGGCTATCAGCAAGTGGACCTTTTAATTGTCGACATTTAATATTACTGTTATCGCTACTGTCGTCACATTCTTCGTTCTCATTTTCCTCGTCTTGTTCATGTATCACACTAGTTGTTTGAGCACCCACACATTTTTTCGTGACTGTAAGGGGATTTTGTGTTATTGTTGGCGATTGAAGTGGTGACATTTGGTAACGGACATTTTGTTGAGTCTCAATTGTCACAAGCTGCGGATGATAACCAGGCAAACACGAAGGCCACTTAGGAAGCGCAGGTTGCTTTTGTTGTTGCTGTTGTTGCAGTGTTAACGAGTTCGTACAGAAATTTTTGTTTAAGTTCAGCATAGCAACTGTTGGGAGCGACGAAGCATTATCAGTTTTATAACCCTCCGGTGGTGATGGAAAATTTTGAACTTCCATCAATTTTGTGTCTACGCATGGATAGCTATCAGGATTATATCGAGCTTCCATATCATCATAAGCTTGAAATGTTTGTGATGTTCTGGTTATAAATTCGGCTTCATTTGAGAAACGTATAACGGACTTATTGAGTTTCACACCCCCTCGATTGTGCGGCAGAGTTTTACAATTTACTACCATTTGAGATGGATTTGTATTAATTGATAATGGTGTCATATTATAATCGACGGCATAACCACCATTATCAATGTAGCATCCAGGATTAAGATGAACGTCAACTTGATACATATCACGACGATTCATATTATCAATTGCAGCTCCACGGGGAAGTGTAGCCATTGCAGTAAATCTTGCCTGCGGAATCGGACGTAAAATTGGAACAAGTGAAAAATTACTATCACAACGATTCGCTTTATTATTATCTAACGCTTGATTTCTACTGCTTTCTGTCTTCATTTCATCATCATTTCGCTTTATGTCACCCTCATTACGTTGTCTCAAACTCTCAGCATCATTTATCAAATCAGGATTTCTATCTTGCGGTCCGCATTGTGCCGGTACTGACATGTCATTCATACTGGCATTTTGCGTATTGTTATTAATGTATAGCAACATATCTTGCTGATTATTATCAGTTATTGTTAAATTACCATTTATTTTCGAACAAACAAGTGAATTGTTTATGTCATTTGCAATGGCGACACATTTTTGTGAGTTTGGCATTTGAAATGAGACTTCTTTGCCATGTTTCTTCTTTTTCTTCCTTCCATTACCACCACTACTACTACTACTACTACTTCTACTACTTTGACGTTTGGATTTGCATTTACAAATTATTATACAGCAACACAATGAGATGAGGAGTGACAATAGTCCAGATGTACCGATGATGAGAAAAAATAATTCATTTGGAAATGAAACTTCTTCTACTATAGGCTCTTCTTTAACTATAACACGAATTGTAAAATTGGCTTGTGAACGTCCAGCTGAATTCTCTGCAATGCATGCAAATGTGCCATTATCGTCTGCATTTGCATTGTATATGAATAATTCACTACGTTTTAAATCATCGCTAACATTTTCTTCTATAAAATAGTACAAATGTAGATTTGGCGCAATGACAGTATCATTTTGAAGAATTTGACCTTGAAACCACCACGAAATTACAGCTTCTGGGATTGCAGTAATTTTACATTCCAGTGAGATATTTTTACCTTCTGCAATTTCAAGATAAAACGTCGTTGGTGTTAGTTCAGGTAAACATGCAAGCTCTTCAAGTTGCAATGATTTGATTGCATGCCCTTGTAATTTTTGTGGTTCAAAGCATTTCGGCTCCTCCTGTTGTGAGATACCTTTAGTTGTAAGCCATTTATATATATCAATTAATCTACAATCACACATCCATCGATTACCATGTAAACTAATTCCATTGAGTGATTCTGGTAAAATACGATCTCCTCGTATATTTCGAATACGATTTCCATCTAGCTTGAGCCATTCTAAGTTATCCATTCCTATAAATGCCTCATCTTCAATAACACTAATTTGATTATTACTTAATTCTAATGTCGTAAGGTACGATAAATATTTAAAAGCCGATGCTTTTAATTCACGTATTGAATTTCCACTTAACGATAAACGCATTAATGACGAATAATCTTGGAATGTTTCAGTTGGAACAGATGGCAAAGAATTATCAGACAGATCAAGCTCGACAAGATTTGACAATCCACGAAATGCACGATCATTAATACGTATAATTTCATTATTGGCAAGATGAATTTTTTGTAAATTTATGAGGTCCATTTTTAGGAATCGCTCGCTTTGTAGAACGCTAAGAGAATTATGCGAGAAATTCAGCACCTGTGTACTTGTGTCTATACCATCAGGTATTGCTGTTAAATTATGAGCGCCACACTCTGATGTTTGTTTGCCGCCTTTCCATTTACAAATGCATGGTTGAGGACAGGCACTAGACTGCACCATCAATCCTATTGCGACCATAAATATTATTTGACTAAATATTTGCAACATTTTCCTTTCTTATTATTTTCTTTTTAATTTATGTAAAACTATCTGACTTTATAATACTTTCAATATTGGTTTTTTGATTTCATGAGACATTTGCTGATTTTTTTTCTTATATTATTTTTTAAAAATATGTTCACAGTGAGTAGAGAAGTGATTTCTTTTTTATGCTTAAATTTATTGATTTTTTTTTTCACTTCCTTTTGTTATGTATATTTATTTATAGACACCGCTTCCTTTATTGATTGCCTCCTAGTAGCGAAGATGTTGAAATTCTTCATTTATTCTATTATGAATACTTCTAAACAAATTTCACTTGACAACGACAATATTTGTGATGCATGATGATGATTATGATGATTGCTTTCTATGATTGAGAATGATAATGATGAAAAGATATACCACGGTTTGATTTCGTCCTCAAATCCTTCGTTGTTATGTTAAGTAGATTGCCAATATACTACGGATAACTTTTTGAATTTTTTATCATTTTAGCCTTTGTTGTTACCTATCTATGCTTAAAACTGTGTATTTGTTTTATTTTCACTACTCTTATTTAGTTTCAATTAATCGATTTTCATTCATTTGAATTGCAAATTCTAAAATCACTGTTGATTATGCTCTTTTAGTCTTTCCTACTGTTTTTTATTTGTTTGCTTTCCATTCTTTTCCCGAGTTTTGTTAAAGTGGCAAATATGAAATGTGTCTCACTACAGATTTCACAAGATCTATCCTTGAATCGATTGAATCATAAAAGCATCCACTACAAATAAAGGAGAAACAGAAAAAAAATTGTGAGATTTATAATTTATTTTGAGATTTTATAAATATATGAAATTTATTATTTTAATAATTTTTAAGGAAGTAATATAAATGCGCTAATCATTATTTTTGGGGTTTTTAGTGCCACACATAATTTGTCAATAAATCTTAGGCAATTAAATTCTGATAACGCTTCACTAGACATTAAAATGACGATTTTATTTCTAATTGGAGATTAAAACGCTCTGTTATTACGCCGCTTACCGAATTACAGCGTGAATGTGTAAATATTATTTTTAAATTATTCTAAAGCTTCATACATATTGATATTAAATGAAAATTTTTAATGTGAATTTTCATCGTGCAATCTACCACATTCTTGGTTTTAATTCAGTCCTAATGACAGAGATATTTAGCATGACAAAATCAAATATTGTCGAGTGGTGAAGATGAGTATGACTATTTATTAATCTCTGTAAACAATCTCTATGATATACCATTATAATTTTTTACAATTCACGATATTCCTATGAATGAAGAAATTTCTATGTTTTATTTCCATTTTGTCAAATCGAATCATCAATTTTTTCATTTAATGCTTTTATATCCTGTAGAGATATATAGGGTAAGAAAAGTGCATTCAAGGGGAAAATGATTTTAGGAAATTTATTATTTTTTCCTATTCTTCTTTTTTGCGCACGCAATATTTACTCAATTCATTTATCTTCAACATCTAAAATGCTGTTTTTCTGAGAGACACATGAGGAGCAAAGAGATGGATAGAGAAAGAGAGAGAAATGTATATATTTTCAGGGAAGCAAAAAAAAGAAAAAAATATACCGGCAACAATAGAATGATGATAATCAAATTCAAATAAATTTCAATCACGTATGTTATGCTGGAAAATTTATATGTAGAATTTTATTTTCTGCGCATTTTATTGACTGTGATTTAAATTTATAGTAAAAATATTTATAAACTTAAAGTATGAACATTTTCTTAATTTTTTTTTCTTTTTCACTTGTAAGCACGTTAGAATCTTAATGTTCAAATTTATGTGACAGTATTGTGAATTGAAATTAACATACGTATGTTTAATGTACGCATATAAAACATAAATACATACGTGTCATTTGCTTCGTTCTTGAGATTTTTGGAGGTAGATAAACATAATAAGATATATTTCACAAATTGATTGTAATAATATTGTGGTAAATTTTATCACCACAAAACAATTAACGTTCTTCATGTTTAATTTATGCGAAAATTAACATAAAGAAAATTATTTCCTTAGCAGACAATATTGGATTTTGCCCTTGAATATTTCAACTATAAATTACGACTTGAAGCAAAGTTTTACTTTAGAATATTCATTTTTTTCCTAAATGTTTTAAGACCTATTATTGAGATGAAATTGAAAACGTCAGAAACGTCATTAAAATAAAGAAGCAGTACACTCTTTTGTTTATTCATATATTTTATTCTCTTTTAAACTTTTTTCGTTTAAACAATGCTGGATGATGACTTTTATTGAAAGAAAGAGACTTCATTAATTATTTCTCATCGTAATCATAACATAAAAGCGACACGTAACCCCCATTTGGAAGATTTTATGTTTCCAACTCTCTTAATTACAAAAAGGTCGAATAATTATTGCAATAAAACGAGAAGATGTGAGAGTATTCAAGACTATATATCAAATTTATATCCCTTGACAAATGTCGTAGGAAAATAATGAGAAATAAAGTCATTACCAGATATTGGATGTATAAAACTGTTGTGCAAAATGACATGACCAAAATATATACTCAAGATATTGATTTTAAATGAATATTTGAGCGTCTTATACTTTATGACGATATGAATATTTAAAGAAAAAATATGAAAATTTATTGCTTAATTTAATTTAAGCTTTGTTTTTTTAAAATTATATCGAACATGAATCGCATGTGAATATTCACAAAAATTGAAAATTTTGTGTGAATATGATATTAATCATTTACATTTTTTATGGATGATCTTAATACAGTCTGAATCAAGCCGAAATGATTATGTTTTCAATTACATCATAGAAGTTTTTTGCAGAGATCGAAGCCGATTTTTTCGGCTTAACTCAATTTTTGATTTTTTTGATAGAAAAAAGCCATTTAACACCCATTTTAAGTATTTAAATTGAACTTTACATGCTTTACTAAGATTCTGTGTAATATTTTGTCAGCATGTAGCTATAGGAAGCTCAGAATTTCAAGTTAAAGAATGTTAAGCCGAAATTTAAGCCAATCGGCTTCATCATAGGGTCCCCAAAATACAATTTTTTTGAATTTTTTTTTTTAAATCAATCATAAATAGCCTAACAATCAAGAATTAAATCAAAAACTTCAAGTTTAAGCTTGTTTAGAGCAAAAGTTGATTTTTTGAATGGTTTTTGAGATATAATTTTTTTAAAATTTGGCATTTTTGACCAACTTTGATTGACTATAACTCCAAAAAGTGCAATCTCTGGGTATAATGAGATACCAATTTAGAAAGATGGAAGTTTGGACTATTTAATAAAGGTAAATTTAATAGGCTAGATCTTAATTCAGGTAGTTTGCGGCAGTCACGAACTTTTTTAGAGGGGTTTTCCCCTATTTTTTCATACTAAATCTGCCACTACTCCATTTGATAGAAATTTTTCAATTATGTATCAAATAACCTATTATGTGCTTTTAGGAACCAAAAACCATTTTTCATTTGGTTGATTAGTTATCGAGCAAATTGAGTTTGAATAAAGAATCTCAAAAAACAGAAAATTCGCCTATACCTAACTTTAAGAACCTGCTACTCAGCACCAGATGGACGAAAAGACTTGAAACTTAGGAAATCATCGTGTATCAATGTCAGCTTTAAAATGAGACATCCCGAAGACTTATGGTGAAACTTTTCCAAAAACACCTCATTTCCCCTTTTTTTGAAAATTAGACCAGTGTGGTGCGCTAGGGCGATTCGTAGCTAATGAGAGTTTAACGAGTGAAGATTAGCCAGACTATTGCAGTCACTTAGACCTACAATTTAAAGTGGAATTCCTTTGGTAAAATTATGAATGCAGTGCGCTTCATTTCCAGAACATATGAAAGGTCATACGAAAAATTTCACATGTCGAGTCTCGATCCCATGATCGCTGTGTCGGTTTTGCAATTATTAGGTATCGAAGTATGAAAACATTTACGGGGTTTCACAAAACCCAAATATCCAAATCCAAAAACCCCAAGTACTTGTACAAATCAAAGAGTTTAAAAATATACAAGAACTGCATTAATTGGTAAAAAACTTGGTTTACTCCAAATCAAATCAAAAAATCCCAAAAACCCAAGTACTTGGGATTTGTACTTGATACCCCTAATTTAAAACACAATTTGAAAATGTATATTGAAAATCTCAAAGCGTGTGTTTGACTGAGAATTTTCATTATTTTTGACTGTAAACTGTGGAGTAAGATAAGAATTTTATTAAGGTCTTTATATTAAATAAAAAGTATGCAGACACGTAAAAAATTTATCATGAAGGTAAACGTTTTTCATCATATCACACAACCCATTGCTCACGATGTGTCACGTAAATTTATTAAATGTTTTATTTTTAACACTTATCCTAGTTTTTATTTTTATTTATCCAAGTGTTTTACAATTCAGAACTAAAATCCCATTTTTCGTGATTTTGCTATAAACTGCAACAAAAAATGTTTTATATTTGTTAACCTATTCAATCATATTTTTCAGAATACTAATTTTTTTAAACCATTATTTACCATGACAATTCTCTTTGCGCTCTCCAAAATTTTACTTGACAAAAACTCGTAAACAAAATATGCTATGGAGGGCTGCTCCATCATGTTTGTAAATTACAGCAACGTGAAGTGTTATAAAAAATGAATGACTGCATTTTATGAAAACATATGTCAGATTTTAAAATATTACGATGCGGATGTGTGAAATTAGATTATTTTCACGAATTCGCATTGCTGTATTTTTAAGTATTTTTTATTCATAACCTTCAGAGAAATAACAGATTGTGCTTACATTCAAAGAGAAAAGAGAAAAAATTTGTTTCATTAGGGAAACATTACAAGTTTTTGTGTACTTGAAAAATACAAAAAAAAAATAACTAAAACCATATCTCTTTTTTATTAAAGTTCATATTTTTGCAAAAAAATAATACCAAAATATTAATTTTAAAAAAAAAAAAATAATGTCCTTTTTTTAAGT